ACAGGTTACCTGAGGCTAGATATTACGTTCAGCGTAAAAAAAAGTTGTCTACTTCTGGAGGGGAAGCAGAGCCATGATGAGAAGCAGTTTAGGTTCACATCCAAGACTAGACAAAGATACCCTGCCTTTAGTCTTATTCCACTGTATGTTACATATTATACAGTCATGTAAAAAAGTAAGTACACCCCATTGAATTTTTTACTTTTTCAACACACTTCAGCATACAGATATTTGATCTTCATTTCAACAATATTGATAGGTAAAGGGGATATAACAAATACCATGCACCATTTACATTCTGTAGTCCATTGTGTAATTTAAATAAATATAAATGCATATTCTATATGTGAAAAAGTAAGAACACCCCTACATTTATCACTACCTCAAATACCTCAAATTAGAATCAGGTGCACCAGATCAGGTACAAATGATTTGAACATTGTTAGAGAGAACCTGGGAGGAACCTGTCTTATTTAAACCTCAGACATGTAGTTTGATTTGCTCTTTGTTGTTGAAGTGTGTGGTATCACCATGCCAAGATCGAAAGAGCTCTCTGAGGCCTTCAGAAAGAAGGTTATAGATGTCTATGAGTCTGGGAAGAGATTTTAAAAGATTGCCAAACAATTGGACATCAGTAATTTCACTGTCCAGAAGATTATCTACAAGTGGAAAAGATTTCAAACAACTGCCAATTTATCTAAGCCAGGCCATCCCAGCAACTTCAGCCTGAGAGAAGAACACAAGATGCTGAAAAAAGTCTCTAAGGTCTCCAGAATTTCATCACATGACCTACGGGTAGCTCTCCTTACTACTGATTGCAAAGTACATGAGTCTGCCATTAGAAAGAAGCTGTACAAATTAGATCTACATGGGAGGTGTGCTAGAAGCAACATCAGGACAAGACTAGTTTGCTCATGAACTCCTAGGCAAAGACCAGGGCTTCTGGAACAATGTGCTCTGCCCAGATAAGGCAAAGATAGAATTATTTGGCCATGGTACCAAAAGACATGTTTGGCAAAAACTAAAGACAGCATTTTACCAGAAGAACCTGATACCAACTGTAAAGCATGGTGGTGGAAATGTTATGGTTTGGGGCTGGTTTGCTGCATCAGGCCTGGGCAGCTCACCATTATAGAATCCACTATGAATTCTTCATTGTACCAGAGCATGCTTGAAGATAATGTGAGACCATCTGTTAGAAGACTGAAGCTCAACCAAAAGTGGACCTTGCAACATGCCAGTGACCCTAAACATTTCAGTAAATCCACCATGGAATGGCTGAAAAAAAAAGAAAAAGAAATGAAGGGTTCTGGAATGGCCAAGTCAAAGCCCAGATCTAAATCCCATTGAGATTCTGTGGGGTGATTTGAAATGGGCTTCTCAGAAGGAAATGGCATATCTGTTAATTTTTTGTTAAATAAATTATTGCAGAGTCAATTTTTCATAGTGTTTTTGTTCAATTACATCCCCTTTATTTTTATATGGTGTTTGAATGAAAAAAAAAATTGATACGTCCACATTATGTTAAAAAAGAATAAACTTTACATAGGGTGTATTTATTTTTTCACATGACTATATTTCAGAAACACAATATATACATGAAAAACACTTCTAATAAAACATCACTTGGTAAATATTTGTGGATATTTTCTGAAATAGCAACAGATCATATTAATATAGTTCTTTCTGATATAGCAACTTCTCGTTATAACCCTTCTGTTTGTGATCAAGGGTTTAATCAACAATCAAGGAAACTGTAATGATTAAAATGAATCCCTGAATAACTGTGATCCTGGTCTGGTCTCCCATTTCAGATTTACCTCAGGTATTCAAAAAAGGGAAGATTTTTCTGTAAGCTAATACAGGTGGTCCCTGACTTACGAACATTCATTCAGCAACCGTTCGAAATTATGACAGTTTAAAAAATGGACTTATGACCCATGCCTGATGTTACAGCCACAGCACTCCCAAGGTCACTTGATCAAAATTCAGGTGCTTGGCAGCCCGCCCACACTTACAACCACAGGGACGCTGCAACTCCCCCCACCCCCCTATCTCCCCTTCAGATCTATGCCGTTTTGGCTGCCATGTACAGCGGCACTTGTCGGCAGCAGTGCTGGGGCTGAAGGCCTGGGACCTTCAGCAGTCTCAGCCAGCTGCCACCACTCCCAGAGTTCTACTTCAGCCCCAGCACCACTGCTGCCACTGAGAAATGCCGCCTCAAGCCCCACACCGCAGCCAGTCACCCCAGCACCATTGCACAAAGCCCCAGTTCCCCTCACTGCCCTGTGTACCACAGACTGAATTTGCTGGGTCAGGCTGGGCGCACCTCATCAGCAGTGGAAGGAAAATGGCGGTCAGCTGGGCACGGATGAGACTGCTGAAGACCCTGGCCTCTACTTCAGCCCCAGCGCTGGCACTGCCGCCACCGAGTGCCACTGTACAGGGCAGCCAAAAGGGCATAGATGGGGGGGGATAGGCAGGTGGAGGAGCTGCAGCGCCCCTGCAGTCGTAAGTGCTGCTTGGTCAGGCTGGAGTGGCTGAGGCTTCCAGGGGCAGCTGTGGCTTTGCGCCGCACTGCAGTGCCCCCCAATTCACACGCAGCCTGCGCCAGGCCTCCCAGGACCTCCCCCACTCACCTGTGGCACCTCCACACTCCTTACCTGGGATTCCCTCCACTTAATGACCCGTGATTCTCAGTTAACAATGGCAACCAGGATTGCAGTCACTAAGTGATGCGGTCATGTGGTGTCTCACTTTACAACTGCATCACTTAGCGATAAAAATTCCAGTCCCAATTGCTGTCGTAAGTCAAGGACTACCTATAAAGTGTTTGTGAATGACCTAAACAAACAGAGGATTTTCACTAATAGCCTTCAATTGTCCGTCTGCATTGAATCACTTTTGTTCAGGGCAGAATCTTTGAATCACCGTCTGATGAAAAACTCCCACCTCCTTGTACTGTTAATGCTACTTAATAACAAACAACAATGCTAAAAATCTCAAAAAATATAATCCATTGTTTGTTTTCTTCTGAAAAAGAATTCCCATTTGATTCTCAATAGCATGATAGCAATGAATTTCAACATTTCAAAATCTAATTTCAGCATTTCACATTGTTATGCTTTGTCATATACATTTCTAACCATCTATGCTAGGATTTTTTTAAAAAGGGAAATTATAGAAGTAGTATCATCCACTCCACATTGATGTCATCAAGTAATTGCTGAAATGGGGATTAAAAAAAAACTTGGCAGATTTATTTTCTATTTGTAAATGCCGTCTAAAACCTATCACTGAGTAAGCTTCCATATCAAGTGGCAACGCACTAAAGTCTTGAAACAATTCTCCTTATTTCATTCTATACTGTGACTTGTCATATTTCATGAAAGAAAAAAAAGTTTTTGTTGATGCAAAAAATATGATGAGTAAGAGCACAGCTAACATGCAGTTCAAAATAATGACTAATTCACAATATAGAAATAAATCTGAATTTTGAATTTACCAGCTACTGTTTAATCATTTGCTATTTTAACATCTATTAGTCATAATATTGGAAATACACAAGCTGCTTGAAAGTTTCTATCTCGTTCAAGCTTTGCAATTTTTTAATTATCTTTTTTTCATTTGCCAAAACAGATGGTACATGGAACAATTAGATACAGTGCCATGTAAAGCATCTCCAGTTGATAAGTATATTCTAGGGATTAATAATTTAAAAAAAATACCAAGTGTACTTTTTAAGCTGAAGGTTCTGTAGCTCCTATTGTTGCAAAATAGAAGGATATATATATATATGTTGCAAAATAGAAGTATACACACTGGACTCATTTAGATATCATTCTAAATCACACATGATTTTGTATGCTTCTTCTGCATACCTACTAAAATAAGAAATGTGGCTAATAATAATTACTGTTTGCTTAAATAAGCTAGTTTCACAACTCAGGATTTGAAATTGTAATTTTAAACAAACCATAGTTAAATTAGCCATAGTTTATATGCATGCAGCCTGACATTATGCAGTTAATCTAAACCAGAAGCTTCCAGAATCCTGCTTCAAGGTTAGCTATAACTCATCTTTATCACGCTATACTATGGTTTAGCATGAAATCCACATGAAGCCACTGTTACTTATGTAGCAATAAAACAATTTAAAAAACCTAAAGTAATTATTTATTAAAATAGCAATTGTTTTAATTTTTAAAGATTAACTCAATTTTAAATATTTGGGAATGATAATCTTATATAAATGGTTTAACATCTAAAATGTATGCAGAACTTCCCCATATTCAAAACTGCTTTTCCAAGCCTGGGTCCTAAAATCCTTATAATGTTGTATCCTTTTATCAAAACTATAACAACACTGTATAAATGCATCGGGAATTCTATGATTTTCTCTTTCAACTACGGATTCTATTCTTGTACTGTGATACAACTTTGATGGTAGTTTAATCAGGTCCTCTCTTTCTCCACTGTCTATTTGCTTTAATTATGACTACTTAGGAGTTGCTTTTTCATTCTTCATGCTATTATCAAGAACATGAAATTAACAACAACAACAAAAAGCTAAAGTTAGAGCTGATGATGATCATTTTTGTCATACATATGCAAAACTTGCTATCCAGACATAAAAGAAGCCAAAGTTCTGATAATAAACTTATATTTAACTGAATTTTTCAGACATATTTATTGGGGAAATGTACAATCTAAGGGGAAAACAAAACTTCATTTAAAAAACAAACAAATAAACTTTTGGGCAATAGAATATTCTAGTAGACCTGAATAATATTAAAAGTACATACTATTTCTTCTGTGTATTGGTTGTAAGTTATTTGATGTAAATTTCACTGAGCCCTGTTGTTGTGTAGCAATTGTTGTAAGGTAGATTGTACCTTCTTAAACAAACCTATTTCTGCAGCTGAGAAAAAATACAGTAAAAAACAAAATGAAGGACAGAAATCTAGCTATAAACATACATAATGATCTGAATGACTTACTGTAGCAGGGGATGCCCGTGTTGTATGAGTAACAGAATGGCCAGAGTTTTCCATTGAATTGCCAATCAGGTAGGTACCTCCAGTGCTGCTGATGAGCTGTCCTCCTGTGACACCCATCTGAAGGCCTCCAGTGCCCACCATACTATGAGAAGAGACTACTGTGGTCACCTGTGCAGAACTTCCTTGGGTATCAAAGTAATTCCCCCCAGTGTTTTGGCTGTACATCTGAGTTTCTGTGTAAGGATACGTTGTTGTTCGTCTTAAGTAAAAGAAATGAAAGAAAAGGTTACTTAAATGTACCTCTTTATTGGAGGGAATCAACATTTTTATGCAAGTGTACAAAAGCTGTAACCCAGTTATGCATTATCTTACAGCATTTACTAGGGTACAGTCTAACTTTGAAATCCTATCTCACTTATTGTTTGTTAAGATTCATATCCTGAAAATATTTTTCTCTAGGATTTAAGGTGGCTTACATCAAGATCTTCCTTTTATTCCCAAAAGAACAAAACTGAAAAGTAGGCTCAGAAAGAATCACTAACTTGATGTCATTCACTGAATTTTCACTGAGAGTAGAACTGAATGTAGGTCTCCCCAGTTCTAGTCCCACACTTTAAACTCTGAATAAGTGATTAAATATTACCAGAAAGTTGAAAAAGCAAGCTTTTATTCCCAAAAGGCTACAATGACAAATTCTTCATTAATACAGAAAACAACATAACCATCCAATGTATTATAAGTGAGATGACTTCAATGCTAGTAGCAGCCTGTATGAAGTCCTTTTCAGATCTTCCTGGTCAGTGCACAAGATTGAGGACTGAGCAGGCAGAAACAGAAACTCTTGATGGTTGGACTTGTTTATAGTCAATGGCTCTTCCTGATGTTTAGCCAACCAGTCAAAGGCTATAAAACTGCCTATGGCTATGGTTAATATTTTATTTATGCAAGATTAGAAACCTTTTGGACATACCTCCTGAAAGGAAACTATCAGGTAATGGTAATTATCCTAGCTAAGGTATATGGCACTGCAAGGGTAAATCTTCTATATTTTCTGAAGTTTCAAGGGTGGTATGCACATGGCGCACACCCACTCACTGATTTATTCCCAGCTGACTTTCTTAGGTTCTGTGTAAATGTCATGACAATGATCTGTCGCCTTTTATAAATTAGTATTCCTGCCATCTCATCTTGCCTCAGCATGTACCTGAGTTGAATGCGACCCTGAATTTTCTTTCATCTGATCATTCAGAAGGACTCATCTACGTACAGAACACTGATCTTTGTCTGGAAAGTTGCTATTTAGCTTAAAAACTATTTTACAGATAAATTTCATTCTAGCAAGAAAAGGCTTTTTCTTGCACTTAATCTCACCTAAATGCTCTGTAATTCCATATAGGTTAATTGCTATTAGATTTGAATTCAAAGGACCTTGATTTAAATACCTGTTCATTCTACATTTATTTTAAATTTCACTCTATTAAACTAACACATTAGTTAAAATATATAGATTTCAGTTATATATAAACATATTTCTAAATATACTGCTTATGGATAATGTAATCTTACAATATTAATACATTTTGATAAAATTAATAACACTAAGAATACATTGAGAGAATTTTTACTTAAATTAAGAGTTTTGTGAAATTAAACTGTGTTTTTCTCTCTCTTATTCACATATACACTTTTAAGAAAATAATTGAGTCTTCATAAGTATTAGAACCATTACTTGGTAAAGAGATGCTATAGATTTTTCCAACTGTCTATTCTGGAAATCATGTTTCTTATTTGTGTCCATCACTAAACATTCAATATATTGTCAATTATTATGACTGCAAAAGAGAAAGTATATAATACCTTTTGAAGTGTGTATGCATATATTTGTTTTCTGTCCTGCTTTTCCTCCAAGGGCTCAAGATTAGGGTTAGGTATTCATGGAAGGGGGCTTATTAAAAAAAAAAGGCAAGATGACAAAAATGACAGTGCAATAAAAATCCTGCTCTTTGTACGTGCAATGTTGAAGCACATACAAAAGGGGCAGGACTTTGATCATGCAGCTGCATCCGCCATCTTAATATTTTTAAACTTCAATGGCCAAGATGCCATTGGGATCACCTTACATAGGGATCTCCTCCTTTTCATCCTCACAACAGTAGTCCTGTAAAGTATGTTCAGCTGAGATAGAATCACTGTCCCACAGTCATCCAGTGAGTTTCCATGTCTAAAGATGTACTTAAACTTGGATCTCCTTTAGTTCAATACCTTTATCAGTACACATACTTAACAGAAGGTTCTACTGTTGTGAATATCACTCTTTTCATAATTTTTAGTTATGCAATTAAAATTAACTTTGTTTCTTTTGTACCAGGGTTAAAAATATAGCAGACAAAGCTGTCAACAGAAGAAATAACAGGATGCAACCAAAGACTGCTATTAATGAAAGACAGCTGAACATCATAAAAATGTAGCAGCATCAATTCAAATTATATTACAAGGGGGAACATTGATACATTTTTTGTATTTTGTATAATTTAAGAGGAATAAGGATATAATGCAGATGATACAGCTAAGAAAATAATTCAGAATTAGCAATTTTTGTACTTCAGATGGGTTTTCATAGCTCAGAAGAAAAAAAAGGGAACTTCTTCAAATGTTTTTGAAATGCAATCTCAGCATACCTTGCTGGGACTGGTGGAAGATGTAGCTCAGCAACAGCTAGACTGCAATAGATTCACCCTCCTTCTCATGGATAATTATACTGGAAGGCATAGATAATCACTCACTATTCTACACCCTTCTTTTCTGCCTCAGTTTCACATGATATATTGCAGGGATGTTAATAACAAGAACCTGACATAAATGTGTACACAGAAAAATATAAGTGCAATAAAGAAGAATGACATATTGCCATACGGTGCTACATATCAGGTAAGATCTTATCAATACTATTTAATTAAATCCTAATTTTCCACATAGTACTATTGCCATTTCATAACATGAAAATGTTTGTCAATTGATACCAATGTCCAAAAAATAAGAACATTTACTATGGCTACCTCATCATACCATACTTGCTAATAATCCAAGCTTCATAATACATAACTTAAAACCGATTTAATTTAGTACATTGTAAAACTGCTAATAACCAGTGTTGAAAGTCCTCCAACAAACATCTTTTGTCATATCAAGTGCATTATTGGACTACTTACTCCAGTCCTGACATCCGTGATTGGCAGCACTTTTCCAAGCTCTCAAACCAGCAGTTTTTCTCAATGCAATAATTTAGGTAAGTTTACTTAGAAGTAAAGTTTATAAGAGCTATGCAAGATTTAGTCTCCAGAAACTGTGCTGAAAATTGCAACTTGGACCTTCTGTATGTGAACTTTCTACCCAACAACAAGCTATTATTGCCCTTTCCCAGAAGCAATTCTATTTAAATATGGAGATGTTGCTACAAGACTGAAGGTATCAAAATTATTATAATCCAAGTACATACATTTTTATGACATGCAGAACCATATACATTATAATGTATATAATATTTTCAAAAAATCGATTTCATTACTTCAGTTACTTCACTTTTACTTTTGATGGTGGAAAGCTTTGATTTTAGATAAAATGATTTCTAAAGGATGTTAAAGACTGCAAAGAAATCTGTTTAATTCTGTGTATTATTGGGATGAAAATGTTTTACTTTCACAGACACACAGACGTTTTACTTACATAGCTCCATTTGTGTAGACCGTGTCACTTCCCTCCACATACTGCACTTGGGCTGGATATACATGTTGCACTTGTTGTACAGTTTGTACTTGTTGAACCTGTAAATAAAATAGACTATAAGACAAGCTTTCTTTTGGGACATTATACATCTCATCTGCAGAGTTTTTAAAGATTAGTGAGAAATCACCAAACTGCAGAGCATATTTGCACAAAAAATCTACAACATGGTGACAAAGATGTTGTTTTTCTCACAGGCAGTATATATTATTTACTTTTGAATGTATACATTGCTTTTCAGAGTGCCTCCAGAGCTCCACATTCAGTGGATAAAGTGACTCCATTATTTATCAAGTTATTAATCAAATGTTTTAATTTCAGGTGGAAGCTCTCCATTTTTACAAGATTTTGAAGTAATAACGGATTTAAACTTATGGTGATTATAAACTGAGTTTTATTTTAAAGCATTCAATTGCACAGGCAATTGTTCCCTTATTTATAGCACTGACTCTCACATGCTCCTTCCAGCAGCACTTCTCCTTCTTGGCAAGATTGTCCAAAGACTGTCCCATAGAACCTGGCACAATGAAGCAGTTCATGCTGTTGGCACTGTCTGATACTGTGCTGCCTGAATAGATATTTCCAGCTTGAGGAATGGGAGGGACTTCTACCCGCTTTTTTACTTGGGATCCACACAGCTGTTGAGATAGGCCTGCTTCCCAGCAATGATTCATTTTAGTAACAAACATATTGAAACATCCATGGCAAATACAAATGGACAGAATGATGATGCAACATGATGCCACTTTCCCTGCAGTGACATAGATGCGTTTTAAAACATCTGACCTAGTATCATAAAAGGCTACTAGTAATATTACAGCTCTCTTGGCAATCACATTTTCCTTATCTTTTACTACCGTATTGTAGCTGATTTATGTACCATTAAAGTCAAAACACGTTTAATTATAATTATTTTTTTCAACAGATTACCTGGAGCCAGAATTTAACATTATTCTCTTCCATTGTCCTGCTTACTAAGTCAGTGTCCAACAAATCACATTGTAAAAGAAAAAGCTAAATAACCATTCTCTGGTTTTATTAGGAACTGCAATATAAAAACTACATTGTATGAATCATGAAATTGATTTAGGAAAACTGTCTGCCTGCAAATATCTTCAAACTCAAAAATTGTACTGCACTGTTTTATTTTACTTTATTGATTGAGCAAATCTAGAATTTTTTTTCATGTGTACCATTGGAAGAAAGTAATATAAGCATATTTCATAGCTTTTAATCATTTAGGAAACAAATTAATTATAAAATATAAAAGGCTCAATGTTGTACATCTGGAAAACTAAATTCATAATAAGATACTGTTTAACTTTTATCTCTCATTAACTAAAGCATCTTGAAATGTAGCACAATACATGATATAGGAGGTACTGTTCCTCTCAACAATGACAAAGCACATTTCAGAATATAGCACAAGTCTTAAGGGTTTAAAATGTATGAGAACCTCCTCTGATAACTGGAAAGAACTTCATAATTCAAGAGAGATTATCATGCAACGCAGCGGTTGGAGGAAAAATAAAGCAGGGGATAGTATAAAAGACAACTACTGCACTTTTCTTTTTGTTCTCCAAATTAATTTGCAGTTCAAATTAAAATGAGCACTCTGTGATGAGGAAGAGCACCTGAATGTCAAGTTATAGAAAAACTCATGTCGCTTTGTCTGCTTTTCTCCTTGGAATGCATCCAGCAGGTCCCCACCCACAAAAATCAAGTACACTGTGTTGGCAATGGCTGTTTTCTCTAGCACCTAGCTTTGCAATTCTTTTCAGCTTTTGTTAGCTCCTTCTCTTCTTGCAAAATCAAAAACGACTACTACCTCTCAGAATGTACAGAAAACCCTACCATCCCCTAAACAGTAAAACTAACTTTGTAACAGTGATTTGTCCTACTCTGTCTATACCCATGTGGGCTACATGAAAGAGGCTCTTTTCAGTAGTGGATCTCATGCTTTGGAATGCCTCCTCAATCTGAATACTATACTGATTTTCCTTTAATGTCAGGCAAAATGTTATTTTTCCATAGGTTCTCAGTTTTAAACTGCATTTATTCTGAAACTTCTATTTTTATTATGTCTTTACACTGTTGCCAAATCAAATCAAATCAAATCAAATCAAACATCATTACAATCTTAGACTGGAATACAGTCCAAACATTGGTTGTTAAAAATAAAATACACAGTAGTGATAATATAATAGTTTAAATGTGCACATCCTGACTCTTATTTTAAGTGTCTTGTTCAAATCAGTGCTATGGAGTTATAATCTTTGTTGCTAAGAGACAACATTTGGCAACTAAAAATGTGACCTTAGAATCTCTGTCAGTCAAAGGAATTGAAAGTAAAATTCATCTGAATAATTTAAAAAAATTAAATAGAGGATGAATTTAACTAGTTGAGAATTAGGGTAAAATTGACAGTGTAATGTCCATAGAATGTATTCAGTTAATTCAATCTCATCTTGGAAACAGAGATTTTACAAAACCTGCCTTCTAAAAGAGCTCATGGTAGAGCATTAAACTGAACTCTGGACAACACCCATTAATATTTGGGATGGATCGGCAAATGCAGGTAAATTGCCGGACTTGAGCTTTGGAAATTGCTGAGGGGTTGATACTTGTATTTGAGGAGCTTCAACTTAAGTCAATCTGTAACTCTACAACTCAGACCCTCTGTTTAATTAATTTGTTACCACATCAAAAATTGTCAAATACTAATTGGTGCCAGAAGAAATCTGAGCCAGGCCATCAGAATGACTATCCAGACTTTGGTTTCAATTTTGGGCAGCCTGAATTCTAGTAATTCTACCATATTAGAAACACATCTCAGGGACTAGAGAACTTTAAAAACTGGACTGAACTTTTTTGAGGGCACCATAGCCAGAACGCTATTGTTATTTTAGATTGCTTTATTTCTTACTGTGCAGCACCATGCAGTTAGCCTATAAATGCTATAAATTAATAACAATAACAAGAGAGAAATGGGAATATCACACATTTCCCTCACTCTTATCTGACTTGGAGTGCAGAGGTTGCAGTCCTGGTCAGGTCTAAATTTGCTCCCAGTCCCTCTACTACATAAATACATTCTTATTTTCAGCTGGGTAAAAGATACAGTGATTGTTTTCTCTATTTTGTATTTCTCTATTTCTGTCTTGGTTATTGACAGTATCCTGGAAGGGTGAATAAATATTTGCACTCTTAACTTTTTTGTGTTTTGTAAAGGATCAGAGTAGTGCCTTACTTACTTATTACATATTTTAGAAATATAACAGAAGTAATAATTCATTTCCACCACATAAATACCACCCTCCCATGACTGATAGGAAATCTAGCTGTTATTTGTCAGTGGTATAAACTAAGGCTTCAGATCTCAGTTCGTATGAGTGATAAAATTATATGTATCTCACATGAAGTGGTGACCATGACCTAGCATGAGATGTGTGGGTGAACCAACTGCAAACAGGAATTATATTGCTTTAAAATCTAATTTGTATATAAGTGGAAAACTGCCAAGGAAGTGTAGCACAGTCACGTTAGAAAACTTGTTAAAAATGAGGAAAGCGGTAAAAAAGAAACTCAAGAGGGTTAAATCTCTCTAAAATGCTTGGGAGTTACTCAAACCATAATAACAGAAACCACCAAATTCAAGAGGTCACCTCCATGATTAACAAGCAAGGTCAAGGAAGTAAAAAAAGGGCTCTAATAAATAGAAGTCTTGCTCAAACAAGGAAAATAAAAAGGAACACAAACTTACACAAAAGAAATGCAAGCACAAATGCACAATGATAAGAGCAAGAGAAAATAAATAAATATACACATACATACATACATACATACATACATGAAAAAAATCAGGAGGAGGAATTGGTTAGGAAGGTAGGTAGCTGGGCCTTTGTAAGACAGGGGAATTAAAGGATCACTAAAGGAGATTGTAGAGACTGTGAAGAAGACAAAAGAAATGCAAGCACAAATGCACAATGATAAGAGCAAGAGAAAATAAATAAATATACACATACATACATACATACATACATACATGAAAAAAATCAGGAGGAGGAATTGGTTAGGAAGGTAGGTAGCTGGGCCTTTGTAAGACAGGGGAATTAAAGGATCACTAAAGGAGATTGTAGAGACTGTGAAGAAGCTGAACGAAAGCATATCTTCACTGCAGAAGATGCAAGACTGTTGAGTTAACATCATCAGGAAATCACAGGATGTGAGGTAAATAAATAGTAGTGTCAAGAGGTGAGGTTCTAAAGCTAAATGACAAATTGAAAACCAACAAATTGCTAAGTCCAGATGGTATCTACCCAAGAGTTCTTAAAATAACTCTTTAAATTTCTGAAATTTCTGATTTAATACAGAAATATGCAGTATGTCCTAAGGTCAGCCTCTAAAGCTGACCAAGTTCTAAAAAGGAATTCAGAGGAGATCCAAGAATGTATAGGCTAGTTAGCTTAACATTCATTCCAAATAAATATACAGTATATGAAGCACTACATATCAAGCGCAAGAAAGTGTAATTTTGACTTCTACTGAGATAACTCATTAACCCTTTAAGTGTTAAGAATATCAGTAAGCATATAGGCAAAATTGAACCAATAGTTATTGTGTTTTGAAAGTACAAATGAATGTTCTTTAAAAAAAATGAGAAAAATTTGCAACCTGGAATGCTGTGCACAAGTCTGAACACCATCCTTCCAAAGACAATATTGAGAGCCAGAAAAAGAATGAACAAAATTGTCAAGTTATAGCGATCCCCCTATGGGGATCCCCTTAAGCTAAATAGTCCTAGCTTAGGAAAAAGGCAAATAAGAAAGCATATGATAAAGATTTATAAAACTGTACCCAGATAGAGAAAATAGATAGGTTATTTTCCCTTTCTCATAATATTAGAACAAGAGGTCATTCAAGGAAGCTAAATGATAAGAGAAGCAAAATAGATAAAAGTACTTCTTCACAAGGCATAAGACATAATAACCACAGTGGTTATAATAAGTTTTATGATTTGATTATGTCTTGTGAAGCAAGA